GCCAAGACTAGTCTCTGATGCTGAAGGCAAGGAAAGCAATTCGTTGTCTTGGTGTTGATCATCATGAATATCATCGTCCACAGCCATCGCATCAGGCAACAACCACTGCCTTTGCCCACGATCAACTGTGACATCAGCAACCTGGTGGCCTAATAGGTGGACCCCGCAGAGGATTTTAACGGGTGTGGAAAAGGCACGGAACTCAAATATAATTTGACACATATTACCCTTCTGAAACCGCGTCAGTTCTTCCCCCACATGTAACCCTCTCAGATTCAATTCCCCCACATGTAACCCTCTCAGATTCAATAATGGAATACACTGAAGAGCCACATGACTTTCCTTTGGTTTCGTATGTGTCATATGTTTCAATTGGACATCTGTTCTATTGATATGAACAGATGTCTTTCCTTTAATGAAATATGACTTTCCTTTATTAACAATAACAACACATAGAACCAATCTTAACGTCTCCCAATCTAAATTTGGAGGAATTTCAAAACAAACTTCACATCGAGCAACAACCTTAGGAGTGTAATCGTATTTCGTCGCCGGCAAGAGTACTTGCTTATTTACAACAAACTCATCGCCTGGAAGAGTAATTGCTTCTTTACAACAGCTGAACCACTTTGGTACTTCATCGCCTGGAAGAGTAATTATAAATGCAGAATGCGGATCAGAAGATACCTACAATACAATTGGTTACAACAATCATCATCTTAACCATATAACATAGAGGGAGAGACAAAGAGAGACACAGAGAGAGAAGAGACAGAAACCTGATCCAGAAACATATTTTCTGTGATGTCATAGCCATGTAGTCTAGCGCAATTGGTCAAACTCAGTTCCCTATCCTCAACCACCGATGATAGTGGCAGTTTTGGAATTTTCTCCAATGATGTGCAGTTATCCAGGATTACCTTACTTACACTTGGTGGAAGCACTTCTTGTGGAATTTCTAGAAGACTCTTGCAAACACTCAAGTCAAGCTCGTCCAAGCTCACAAATTTGCTAATGCATTCCGGAAGCGTGACAAAATTGATTCCAGCTAGATGAAGAAATAGTAATGTGGACCAGCAATAAAGCAGCCGTAATTCAAGCCCAGTAAGATTGAAGCATCCACTAAGATCCAAGAATACAAGCCCAGTAAGATATGAAATTGATAGAGGCAATTCTCTTATGCCACTTCCATGCATATCCAATCTCCGTAGTGATTCCATCTCGACTTCTATTTCTGGGAAACTCTCAAGCCTTTTGCAATTTGAAAGATCAAGTTCTTCAAGAGATTTCAATCTAAGTCTTGTTCCAAACCTCGTAAGCTTAACGCATCCACCGAGATCCAATTGAACAAGTTTATCAAGGAGTCCAATAGAATCATCAACCTCTACCAAACTTGTACAACCACTTAGATTCAAGTCCATTATGTTTGGGATTCCGGATAAGTCTGGGATTTTTTCTAAGGATTGACAATCACTCAAATTCATATATGTCAGGTTTGGCAAATGCTGTGAGACAAGAACACAAAAACAGGAAATAATTAATCACACGCTTCAAAAGACAAAAACTTAGAAAACAAATTTCGTGTTTTTCCTTCTGAAATTAACAACTCTATTTGAAATTATATATAATAGATGAAAATAATTTCACATACATACCTTAAATCCCTCCAATTGTCTGATATGACTGCCAGGCATTTCGAACTCAACAAGACGATTTCCTTGAAAATTGGGTGGCAAAGATTGTAACTGACAACTAGGCCAATCAATAATTCTTAACGCGTTGGGCAGATAGTTAATGTTCCCACGTAGAGATGCATTATGGCTCCTGAAAATTTGAAGATTTACCATATTACGGAAGCATTCTGGATTCAAGGTTATCTCAGCTGGTTCTGGATTCAAGGTTATCTCAGCTGGTTTTGGAAACTTCACCACGATGCCTTTAATATTCCTTGTTCCCTAAGATTGAAAAGCATTAATTAGGAAACGAAGTCATTGTACAAACCAAAATTGACGCAGCACAAGCAATAAAGGTTTCAAACGAAAACCTTGAGTAACAAGGGAACTGGATTCCACCAGAAAATTAAGAGAAACTCTCTTTGATTAATTGTATTAAAATCTGAAGTGTACAAAAACGTTAGACAAACCTGCCTAAATACACAACTCTCAACCCTTGTAACTGCTAGGGGAGTTATTACATTAAAACTGAAAAACTGAAAAACTGAATTTATTCCGAAAATTAACTACGAAACTTTGAATGCGGTTTTGGAAGGCCAAACGACCTCAGAATGCCAAAATCCATCATACATCACAGCAAAGCTGTGAGTTTGACTCGTGGCGTCGTTCCCTTTCCGAAATGGTATTTTGCGTCCTAATCGGAGCTCGGACGCCAAATCTGCAAATTCCTGCTATGTCCCTTTTCACTTCTTCGCTCCAATTCTTCTTCACTCCAATTCTTCTTCAATCAATTAGAAAATCCCAACGATACGCCTTCCTTCTTTTCCTAGTGTCATAAGTGACCATATTTCGTCCTACATCAGACT